GTCTTGTTGTTGGTATAGAGAAATGCAACTGATTTCTGTGCATTGATTTTATATCCTGACACTTTACTGAATTCCTGTACAAGTTCTAGCAGTTTTGGAGTGGAGTCTTTTGGGTTTTCCACATATAGTATCACATCATCTGCGAAGAGTGATAGTTTGGCTTCTTCTTTGCCAATTTGGATGCCTTTAATTTCCTTTTGTTGTCTGATTGCTGAGGTTAGGACTTCTAGTACTATGTTGAATAACAGTGGTGATAACGGACATCCCTGCCGTGTTCCTGACCTTAGCGGAAAAGCTTTCAGTTTTTCTCCATTGAGAATGATATTTGCGGTTTTTCATAGATGGCTTTGATAATATTGAGGTATGTGCTCTCTATCCCTACACTTTGAAGAGTTTTGATCCGGAAGACTTGCTGTACTTTGTCAAATGCTTTTTCAGCATCTATGGAGAGTATCATATGGTTCTTGTTCTTTCTTTTATTAATGTGTTGTATCACATTGATTGTTTTGTGGATGTTGAACCAACCTTGCAGCCCTGGAATAAATCCCACTTGGTCGTGGTGAATAATCCTTTTAATGTACTGTTGAATCTATGGGCTAGTATTTTGGTGAGAACTTTTGCATCTGTGTTCATTAAGGATATTGGTCTGTAGTTCTCTTTTTTGATGGGATCCTTGTCTGGTTTTGGGATCAAGGTGATGCTGGCCTCATAAAATGAGTTTGGAAGTTTTCCTTCCATTTCTATTTTTTGGAACAGTTTCAGGAGAATAGGAATTAGTTCTTCTTTAAAGGTTTGGTAGAATTCCCCCCCGGGAAGCCGTCTGGCCCTGGGCTTTTGTTTGTTTGGAGATTTTTGATGACTGTTTCAATCTCCTTACTGGTTATGGGTCTGTTCAGGCTTTCTATTTCTTCCTGGTTCAGTTGTGGTAGTTTATATGTCTCTAGGAATGCATCCATTTCTTCCAGATTGTCAAATTTGTTGGCGTAGAGTTGCTCATAGTATGTTCTTATAATTGTCTGTATTTCTTTGGTGTTCGTTGTGATCTCTCCTCTTTCATTCATGATTTTATTTATTTGGGTCCTTTCTCTTTTCTTTTTGATAAGTCTGGCCAGGGGTTTATCGATCTTATTAATTCTTTCAAAGAACCAGCTCCTAGTTTCGTTGATTTGTTCTATTGTTTTTTTGGTTTCTATTTCATTGATTTCTGCTCTGATCTTTATGATTTCTCTTCTCCTGCTTGGTTTAGGGTTTCTTTCTTGTTCTTTCTCCAGCTCCTTTAGGTGTAGGGTTAGGTTGTGTACCTGAGACCTTTTTTGTTTCTTGAGAAAGGCTTGTACCACTATATATTTTCCTCTCAGGACTGCCTTTGTTGTGTCCCACAGATTCTGAACCATTGTGTTTTCATTATCATTTGTTTCCATGAATTTTTTCAATTCTTCTTTAATTTCCCGGTTGACCCATTCATTCTTTAGAAGGATGCTGTTTAGTCTCCATGTATTTGGGTTCTTTCCAAATTTCCTCTTGTGATTGAGTTCTAGCTTCAGAGCATTGTGGTCTGAAAATATGCAGGGAATGATTCCAATCTTTTGATTCCGGTTGAGACCTGATTTAGGACCGAGGATGTGATCTATTCTGGAGAATGTTCCATGTGCACTAGAGAAGAATGTGTATTCTGTTGCTTTGGGATGAAATGTTCTGAATATATCTGTGATGTCCATCTGGTCCAGTGTGTCATTGAAGGCCTTTATTTCCTTGTTGATCTTTTGCTTGGATGATCTGCCCATTTCAGTGAGGGGAGTGTTAAAGTCCCTAACTATTATTGTATTATTGTCAATGTGTTTCTTTGATTTTGTTATTAATTGGTTTATATAGTTGGCTGCTCCCACATTAGGGTCATAGATATTTAAAATTGTTAGATCTTCTTGTTGGACAGTTCCTTTGAGTATGATATAGTGTCCTTCCTCATCTCTTATTATAGTCTTTGGCTTAAAATCTAATTGATCTGATATAAGGATTGCCACTCCTGCTTTCTTCTGATGTCCATTAGCATGGTAAATTGTTTTCCACCCCCTCACTTTAAATCTGGAGGTGTCTTCGGGTTTAAGATGAGTTTCTTGTAGGCAGCATATAGATGGGTTTTGTTTTTTTCTCCATTCTGATTCCCTGTGTCTTTTGATTGGGGCATTTAGCCCATTAACATTCAGGGTAAGTATTGAGAGATAGGAATTTAGTGCCATTGTATTGCCTGTATGGTGACTGTTATTGTATATTTTTTCTGTTCCTTTCCTGATCTACTACTTTTAGGGTCTCTCTTTGCTTAGAGGACCCCTTTCAATATTTCCTTTAGAGCTGGTTTGGTATTTGCAAATTCTTTCAGTTTTTGTTTGTCCTGGAAGCTTTTAATCTCTCCTTCTATTTTCAATGATAGCCTAGCTGGATATAGTATTCTTGGCTGCGTGTTTTTCTCATTTAGTACTCTGAATATATCATGCCAGCTCTTTCTGGCCTGCCAGGTCTCTGTGGATAAGTCTGCTGCCAATCTAATATTTTTACCATTGTACGTTACAGACTTCTTTTCCCGGGCTGCTTTCAGGATTTTCTCTTTGTCACTAAGACTTGTAAATTTTACTATTAGGTGACGGGGTGTGGACCTATTCTTATTGATTTTGAGGGGGATTCTCTGAACCTCCTGGATTTTGATGCTTGCTCCCTTTGCCATATTAGGGAAATTCTCTCCAATAATTCTCTCCAATATACCTTCTGCTCCCCTCTCTGTTTCCTCTTCTTCTGGAATCCCAATTATTCTAATGTTGTTTCGTCTTATGGTGTCACTTATCTCTCGAATTCTCCCCTCGTGGTCCAGTAGCTGTTTGTCCCTCTTTTGCTCAGCTTCTTTATTCTCTGTCATTTGGTCTTCTATATCGCTAATTCTTTCTTCTGCCTCATTTATCCTAGCAGTGAGAGCCTCCATTTTTGATTGCATCTCATGATAGCTTTTTTGATTTCAACTTGGTTAGATTTTAGTTCTTTTATTTCTCCAGAAAGGGCTTTTATATATCCCGAGAGGGTTTCTCTAATATCTTCCATGCCTTTTTCGAGCCCGGCTAGAACCTTGAGAATCGTCATTCTGAACTCTAGATCTGACATATTACCAATGTCTGTATTGATTAGGTCCCTAGCCTTTGGTACTGCCTCTTGTTCTTTTTTTTGTGGTGAATTTTTCCGCCTTGTCATTTTTCCAGATAAGAGTAGATGAAGGAGCAAGTAAAATACTAAAAGGGTGGCAACAACCCCAGGAAAATATGCTTTAGCCAAAGCAGAAGAGATCCCAAATCGTGAGGGGGGACAAAGGGGATAAAAAGAGGTTCAGAACGAAAAAAAAAAAAAGAATTAAAAAAAGAAAACCAATAAAGAAAAAAAATATATATTAGATAAACTAGTTTAAAAACGTTAAAAAAGAAAAGGGTAAAAGTTAAAAAAATTTAGCAGACGAAGAGAAAAAAAAATTGAAGAAGAAAAAAAAATTAAATTAACTGCAAGGCTAAAGAATCATGGGGAGAAAGGCATGAGTTCCGTGCTTTGCTTTCTCCTCCTCTGGAATTCCGCTGCTCTCCTTGGTATTGAAACTGCACTCCTTGGTAGGCGAACTTGGTCCTGGCTGGGCTTCTTGTTGATCTTCTGGGGGAGGGGCCTGTTGTAGTGATTCTCAAGTGTCTTTGCCCCAGGCGGAGTTGCACCGCCCTTACCTGGTTGGTCTGAGTAATCTGATCGGGTTTGCTTTCGGGAGCTTTTGTTCCCTGGGCGCTTTCCATAGAGTTCTGGAGGGCGGGAATGAAGATGCTGGCCTCCCGGTCTCCGGCCCAGAGGAGCCGAGAGCCCGGGGCCCCACTCCTCAGTGCGCCCTCAGAGAACAGCGCCCAATTACTCCCGTCACCCTGGCCTCCGGCCGCGCTCCGAGCTGACGGACCCTGCGACCGGTTCAAGGTAACCCCGAGCTTAGAGCTCACTCCTCGGCTCTGTCTCTGTAGCCGGCTTCCCCGTTCTACTACCTGTAAGCTCTGCGACACTCAGACACCCCCGATCCTTCTGTGACCCTGCGAGACCTGAGGCCACGCTGACCCTGCGTGGGCTTCACCCCGGTTAAGCCTCTGGAGCCATGTCCCTCAGCGGAACAGACTTTTAAAAGTCCTGATTTTGTGCTCCGTTGCTCCACCGCTTGCCGGGAGCCGGCCCCTCCCCCGCGGTCTATCTTCCCGTCGCTTTGGATTCACTTCTCCGCCAGTCCTACCTTTCAGAAAGTGGTTGATTTTCTGTTTCTAGAGTTGCTGTTCTTCTTCTCTTCGATCTCCCGTTGGGTTTGTAGGTGTTTGCAATCTTTAGATAAGCTATCTATCTGATATCCCGCTACCTGAAGTAGTCTCAGCCTGCTACTTTTCTGCCATCTTCGAGATAGTTACTTTTAAGTTCTCATCTGATGTATGATTTGTTCAATGGAGATAATAATATCTATTTCATTGGCTTAAATTGAGAATTAAATGGAATAATTTTTATGAAAAATCTCTGAGAATAGTGCATTATTGACAATTTATATGGGCCCCTACTCAAAGAAGAATTAATAATGTTAAGTTATAGAGCAATGAAGTCATTCTTATGAGAAACTGGTAAGTTTTCTACAAGAGTAGAAAATGATCCCAGGGTCCTGGGATTGAGTCCCTTGGTCAGCAGGGAGTCTGCTTCTCTCTCTGCCTGCTGCTCCACTTGCTGGTGCTCTCTTTCTCTCTCTGAAAAATAAATAAATAAAATCTTAAAAAGTATATATAATATGCTTAATCTCATTTAATTAAAAATGTCTTCTTAATTTGAAATAATAAGTATGGAAATATTGTACCTCAGTTTGCTTCAGTCTAGGATTTTATTGGCCCCAGACAAATTATTAGCAGAAATTCTCATCTTTGAAATGTTTGTCAAAATTAATTTTAAATATATACTTATTTATTTAGTTATAGAGATCATCCAGGTTATGTAGGAGCAACAATTCCTGGAAAGATGTGTGTTACTCATTATTCTGCTGGAATTGCTTTGGTATGTAATTATTTAATCTTATTATTTAAAAAAATTTATACATTTAAAAATCATTCAACATTATAACAAAAATTTTATACAGTTTACATTTATATTTGCATTTAGAGATTACACTTACTTTCTACTATAGTTAAAAATTTGAAATGTGTAGAAGGAAGAGTATTTTGTAGAAGAAACATCTGTTGCAATTATTTTGGAAGTAGGAAGTAGAATAAAAATATCACAAATACACGTGCATTCCTTAATATAGAGAATAGTACATCATGAAAAATTATCTGTAAAAAATTTTTATAACCCAGATTTTCGCTTGTAGACATAAAGTTGGAGAATTTAAAGAAATTTAATGAGTATTTAGAAGAAACTTTTTATGCCTGTTTAAAAAATTTATAATATTTGTAAATATTTTATATATATTAGAAATAAATTATTGATATAATTAGATGCATCATTGAAAGGTAAAGTAATTGGTTGAGCAATTTTCCCATCCTGTTCATTTAAAAAAAAAAACAAATTTAAGTACTAAAAATTTTTTTAATTACAAAATAATTTATGTTCTGCCCCATTTAAAAGTTAAATAGAGGGACGCCTAGGTGGCTCAGTTGGTTAAGCAGCTGCCTTCGGCTCGGGTCATGATCCCAGCGTCCTGGGATCGAGTCCCACATCGGGCTCCTTGCTCGTCAGGGAGCCTGCTTCTCCCTCTGCCTCTGCCTGCCATTCTGTCTGCCTGTGCTTGCTCGCTCTCCCTCTCTCTCTCTCTGACAAATAAATAAATAAAATCTTAAAAAAAAAAAAGTTAAATAGAAACATATAAGGAAATTTATGTAAATTTATGGCATCTCTCTACTCAGGAAGTGATGACCACTATTAATATTTTGATTAATATGTATCTTCTACATTCTTTCTTCATCTGTTACTGTGGCTCCCTCTCTATATATTTTTGCAAAAATGGGATTTTGCAGCACATATTTTTATTTCTGATACTCATAATTTTTATTACAAAATTTGTACATGTACCTGGCAAAATTATTTTAATAAGTATAAAAAGCCAAATTTGATAGTAATTCTTCCTTATCTTCTTCAGGGAGTTCTACTGAAGACTTTATAATTTCTGTTTAAACTCTTCTTGTAGCTAAATTTATTATTTAAAGTAAATGTGCTCTTACCCCTATTTTGATTTATAAACTTTAGGCAATGTTGGTCGTATTACCTATAACACATTTAGCCCACTTTCTCTGTCATGTATATATTCTTATATTTTTATTATTTTAACAACATTCACATTATTATTAAAATATATTATTATATACTACTTTTAAAATATATATAGTATATATTTATATATAGTATGTAATATATAGCATACATATATATGGTATATAATATTTTATATTATTAAAATATGTTACCAAATAATATACTATATATACTATTGAAATATATAATTATATATCATTATACATTATATGCATATGTACTTTATAGTTATACATGTATAATATATACATAATATGTAATATCACATGATCTTATTTTAATAATTATATTTTTATTCATATCTTTTTGTATTATATTGATTTACCTTAGGCAATGCCCATTGATTACTTAATATGAAAAATAAATTAGAATAGTTGAACACTTCTTATATCCATTGTCAAGATTAATAAAATTTATAATTCCATAAAAACTTTTATACTTTAAATTAATGAATAGTATTTTATAATATTGTGATATGTAAATAATATTAACTGTTGGGTAAAGAAATATATTGTTATGCTAGTAAAGCTCTGATGGTCAGAGGAGGGCCTTTTGGGCATCAAGGTCTAATGGAAATGCTTAATTAGCTCCTCACTTCTTTAACTTCTATGAGTGAAACCAACAGCCACAGAAAATTAAATCTTATCTTCCTTTTCTTAGAATCCTTTCCTGTTTTCTTGGAGTAATTCTTGAGTTTTTTGTTTGTTTGGTTTCCAGTTTATTGTTTAAAATATTGTTATTTTTCTATTTGAATTGGGTATTGTATATTGAATTCACATAAAGAAAAATTTATGTCTTCATAGGTCTGAATGTGGGCCAGTTCAGAATTTATTTCTAGACCAGATTTTTCTTTCAATGTTATCTACTTTTTCTGGCATCCTGTGGGTTATATCCTAAATGTATTAGGTGTTAAATTATTTTCAAAATTATTCTTTACATTCTTTTAATTACAAGAAATAATTTTCTTTTGTTTTTGACCAGATTCTTTGCCCAGTGTTCTGGGTGTAGGACTTTTTAGGCAGGAGGTCTCTCCTCCAGGAAACTCATTGCCTGCTCCTACCCTAGCAGGAAGACAAGAGGGAACTCCCAGCTATGACTGACCATCTCTCACCTGTAGCTTTTCTGTTTGCTTTTGGGGCATTGGAAACATGAGATAGATGTGGGCCAGATATGACTGAGGAACATTTATTACACTTGAGTACAATTCAAAATGGGCTAGGTCTACCAGTGCCACAGGTCTAGATTTACCTTTATTTTTCTGGAAAGCTAGGAAGAATATTTTATTTATTTTAATTTTTAAAATTTTTTTAAGATTTTATCTATTTACTTGACAGAGATGACAAGTAGGCAGAGAGGCAGGCAGAGAGAGAGAGGAGGAAGCAGGCTCCCCTCAGAGCAGAGAGCCCAATGTGGGACTTGATCCCAGGACCCTGGGATTATGACCTGAGCCGAAGGCAGAGGCTTTAACCCACTGAGCCACCCAGGCACCCTAAGAAGAATATTTTCGAACTACTTTACCATTTAACATAAGGATTGAGGAAGGAATATAGGAATCTAAAATATTTTAATTTTTTCATATAGGTCTTTTTAAAAATTTTATTTCCAGTATAGTTAACATACAGTGTTGTATTCATTTCAGGGGTACAATATAGTGATTGGATAATTCTGTATATTACTCAGTGCTCGTCAAGATAAGTGTACTCTTAATCCCCTTCACCTATTTCACCTGTACCCTCCCCCCTCCTTATGGTAACCATCAGTTTGTTCTTCATAGTTAGAAGTCTAGTTTTTGTTTTGCTTCTTTCCTTCCCTTTCATTTGTTTTGTTTCTTAAATTCCATGTATGAGTGAAATCAGATAGTATTTCTCTTTCTCTGACTTATTTCACTCAGCATTATACCTTCTAGATCCATCCATCCCGTTGTTGCAAATGGCATGACTTCATTCTTTTTTTTTAAGTTGTTATTTAAATTCCAGTTAACATACAGTATAATATTATTTTCAGTGTACAATTAGTGATTTTACACTTCCATACAAAACCTGGTGCTTATCACAAGTACGCTTCCTAATCCCATTACCTATTTCATCCATCCCGAAACCCACCTCCCCTCTGGTAAGCATCAGCTTGTTCTCTGCATTTGAGAGTCTGTTTCTTGGTTTGCCCCGTCTCTCTTTTTTTACTGCTAGGCTCATTTTTTTGTTTCTTCTGCTCATGAAATTTTGTTTTTGTAATTTTCTTCTAATTATTGTCTTATCTTTTTCTTTCTTTTTTTTTTTTAAAGATTTTATTTATTTATTTGACTGACAGAGATCACAAGTAGACAGAGAGGCAGGCAGAGAGGGAAGAAGGGAAGCAGGCTGCCCGCTGAGCAAAGAGCCCGACTTGGGGCTCGATCCCTGGACTCTGAGATCATGACTTGAGCCGAAGGCAGAGGCTTAATCCACTGAGCTACCCAGGTGTCCCGTCTTGTCTTTTTCATTGAAGTCCCTTTGACATATTTTTAAAGGTCAGTTTAGTGGTGATAAATTCTTTTACTTTTGTTTGTCTGAGAAACTCTTTGTGTCCTTGAATTCTGAATGATAGCCTTGTCAGGGAGAGTATTATTGTTTGTAGTTTTCTCCTTTCAGCATTTTAAATATGTTATGCTACTACATTTTGGCCTGCAAGGTTCCTGCTGAAAAACCAGCTGATAGTATTATTAAGGGGTTTCCTTGTGTATAACTACTTGTTTTGCTCTTGGTACTTTTAAGATTCTCTCTTTATCTCTCTTTATCTTAATCTTTGCCATTTTAATTATTATATATTGTAGTGTGTGCTTCCTGTGGGTTATTTTCTTTGTGGCTGTCTGCTTCCTGGACCTGGGTGTCTGTTTTTTTCCCCAGGTTAGTGAAGTTTGCAGCCAGTATTTCTCCAAATAAGTTTTCTGCTCTCTTCTCTCTCTCTTATTTTGGGGATCTCTATAATGAGAGTATTAGTATGCTTGATGTTATACCAGAGATCCCTTAACATATCCTCATTTAAAAAATTTGTTTTTACTTTGTTGCTGTTCAACTTGGGCACTTTCTATTACCCTGTCTTCCCAAACATTAATTCATCTTCTGCTTTCTCTAATCTTTTTTTTTGATTCTATTTTTCATTTTAGTTATTCTGTTCTTCAAGTGTGATTTTTTAAAAAGTATTTTTTGTCTCTTTGTTGAAGTTCCCATGAGTTCATTCATCATCATTCTTTCCAGTCCAGTGAGCATGTTTTTATTTATTTATTTATTTAAGATAGAGAGAGAGAGATCAGGAACTGGGGGGAGAGGGAAAGGGAGAAGCAGGCTCCCCACTGAGCAGGGAGCCCAACATGGGGCTCAATCCCAGGACCCTGGGTTCATGACGTGAGCTGAAGACAGATGCTTAACTGACTGAACCACCCAGGCGTTCCCTCCAGTGAGGATGTTTTTGACCATTACTTTTATCTCTTTATCAGGTAGGTTGCTTATTTCTGTTTTGTTTAGCTCTTTTTCTGAGACTTTTGTCTTCTTGTTTAGTTTCGAAAACATTCCTCTGCTGCCTCATTTTGTTTGTCTTTTTGTGTTTGTTTCTATGAATTAAGTAGAACAGCTGCTTCTCTTAGACTTGAAGAAATGATATTTTATAGGAGCACCCCTTATGTGGACTGTGTGTGCCTGATAGCTTTGGTTGCCTTGCTGTATCTGTAATGGGTGTGGGCTGAAAGTCCTGGGGCACTTCATACTGGGACTGCACTGGTGCGATGGCTGAAGCTGAAGTAGGCACTTGCCAGTGGGTTCTGGGGCTCTCTGTAGAGTGGATGTTGGCCTGGAGTAACTGAGGATACTTTGTACATATGTCATCTTGGTGAGATGGTTGGCACTATTGCCAGCACTGTCCAAGGATTTCCCTGTGTATGCCACACTGGGGCCCCACTGTGAGGCTTTTCTGGGGGCAGCACTGGGTCTCATGTGGGCCAGAATCCCAGGCACTGGGCTTGCTAGGGTGCCATGACTCTGCTTTTGTCTCTGCTATCAAGGTGGAGGAGGAATGTAAGCAATGGTACTCCTCTGCCCCTCTGGCCCTTGAGAGTGTTCCACAGCTCCCTGGACACTTGATAGAATTCTAGGGCTGGTTCCTTTATATTCCAGTTGTTATAGTGGCTCTGTGGCACTTTTGTCCTCCCTGTATTCCAGAGTGTCCAGGGCTGGTGTTGGCTAGGGGCCCAGGGTTGGGTAAGGGGGTAGGCTGGCTAAAGTGCCTGAATTTTGCTCCCATCTGTGCTATCAAGTCAACAGGATAATGTAAATAGTGGTGTCAGCCTCTCTGATTCCCCATCACTTGGTGGAGGGTTAGTTCCTTCATATTCTGGTTTCCCTTTTAAATTCTGGCTTTTAAAAATGAATCTGCTCACAGTCCCTCAGTGCTATCCTCCCACACTCTAGCCTATAGAATCAGGGGTGGTGTTCCTGTTATTTTTGTGTCTCCATATCTCCTTCATTTCTCTATGTGTTTCCTCTATCATGTGTTGTCCAGAAGCTGTTTAATGTGCCCTTAGTTCTTTTTCAGGAGGAATTGCACTATAGGTAGGCATAGATTGGGTATGTCTTTGGAAAAGATGAGTTCAGGGTCTTCCTAGGTTGCCCTCTAGGAGCCTCCGTTGGTATATCTGCATTTGAGTAAGTGGTCTCCTTTTCAGACTTTACAGCTTTGCTTTTGCAGAGACAGTTCATTATCAGTCAGCTCAGTTTGGGTTTCGAGACATGACCACTGGTAATGCCCTGGGGAAGGTGAAGCTTGCTCTCAGGGTCTATTTTTGGGTGAGTCTACTGCCTGAGCTCTGGGGTTGGGAATGGAAGTGCTGCTAGCTGGTAACTGGTAAATGGCTGGCTTGGTTCCCTTCCCAAGTAAGGGTGTGGGAGATGCTCAGCACTTGCCTGGGTTCATTCATCAGGCTTCCTAGATGGGTAGGACAGGTACTTACTCAGCAGGAGATGGACTATGATTTAGCTTCCCTGACATGGCAGGATAGCAGAATGTACCCCAAATCCTGTATGGCCCATTGTCTGGGGACACAAAACAGGCAATATCGTACACTGAATTCTTGGCTAGATAGGACAGTGGTTTTGTTCTGAAGATGGGGAAAGCCATGGGCTGTGCTCTCCATTCATGTGTCACTATAGGGCTATGCAGTTTCCTATGTACACTGGTTAGGTTCTCTGGTCTAGGCTGGCTGAAGTCAGTATTTAGCAATGGGCAGGACTGCAAATTAGTTTCTCTGCAAAAGTAGAGAATGAGAATCAGATGGCTTGTTGGTCTTGACTCAAACTGACCTGTACCCTAAGTTCCACAGTCAAATGGTGCCATTGGCTTTGCCTTGTGGATAATCACCGCTGCCTGTCATTCTCTCTGTTCAAGAGATGCTGAGCTGCACAGCTATCAGAGGTACCAGCTAGGTTTTCTGTTCAGTCAGGGCCAGGAACTACATTCAGCAGTCAATAGGGCTGAAAATTAAATCCCATTCTTGGGCAGAGCAGGAGAGACTTTTCTAAGCAGCATCTTAGATATTTGCAGTTAAGCTTATGGCTGGGCAGGGCCAGGAGCTACATGCAGCCATGGAAGGGGTATGAATCATCTTTCCTATCTGGGAAGAACTGACTTTAAGCACAGGAAGGCTATCTGTGGTCTTAGGCTGACATGTACCCCAAGTTCCTGGCTAAAAGGTACCACTGGTTTTGCTCTGTGGACAATAGCTATTCCTACTGTACACTCCACTTGAATATTGCTGAGCTATGCAGCTTCTAGGCATTATGACCTGACTTCTGGTCAGGTGGCACCAGAAGGTGCGCTCAACATTGGGAGGGTTATGATTCAACTCCCTACCTGTGTGGGGTTGAGGGACAGACCAGGCTTCAACGGCCAGGCTCTTTGATGACCCGAATCAGGAAGACCTACTGTTCATTGGGTTCCCTGGTCAGACTGCGTTACGTCTTAGCTCTACAGATAGGCAAAACTGCTGGTTGGGACTATTTTTTGGGTGCTGTGGGTGAGAACTTGTTCTGCCAAGATCTGAGTGTTCATTGTTTTAAGTCCTTCCATTCTTCTCTGTCACAGATTTCCCATGTTCAATTCATGTAGCATCCTCTGTGCTCCTTGTGAGGGCAAATCAGACTGGGGACTCCTAAGAAGTCATCTAAAATCCTGGGGGAGCTGGATGTCCACCTTGGGCTCTCATTTCTCACTTGGAGGTGAGAAGTCTCACCTCCAAGTGAGAAATGAGAAGACCTCCTAGTATGGCATTATACCAGTCTTGGGGAAGGGCAGAATAGTCAGTGTGTAGCTACTCTTCTTACCCTTCCAATGTGGTCTCTTTTGTTTTCTGTAGTGCAGGGAGTGCTTCAGGTCTGACCTCCATGTTCTAGGATCTTCAGAGTAGTTTCTGTCCAAGAGTAGTGTTAGTTGTTCTTGTTGCAAGGGGGCAGTGAAATTGGAAATGACCTATGATGCCATCTTGGTAATATCACTTTGGTTGTGATGTAATTCTTAATACGGACCAGGAGGCCATGAGGGTTGGTGAGACAAATGACATCAAAACTTATTTTTGATGCGTCTCTCTCATTCTCATATTGTTTGGAGGGAGGCTTCCTATGCTGGAAAAGAAAATCTAAGTATATTTGTCCATGTCACTCCAGTTGTTCCTTTACCAAGTTTCAGATTTTAACACCTTCCCTACCAAATCTGGTAGATTTGAGAATTAAGTTAGTGTTGTAGCCCTGCAGTCCTTATGCTTTGTGCATGGTCCTCAGCCATGTCCATCCAACTACTATAGGAGATGGGGAATTACTCCAGTGCTGCTTCAGAGGCTTACAACTGCCTATTTGCATTCTCAGTTGCTTGTTCACAGCTTTTCCTTTGTATTTCTCATAATATGTATCCTCTAGTACTATTAACAATCCAGTTGAACCATAAATTTTTACTAGAGCTTGTCATTGGAGCAGTGAAGTGCCCTGATTTTCCCCCAACCTGTCCTCACCTGTATTTTATTTGATGCCAGATTTGGTCATAACTGGAGAAATCATGATGTTTTTGCTCACCATGAATTACCAGTATCACATTTCTCCTTGGCATGGAAGTTATCTCTGCACTTGTTAAATATGTGAGTGGTATTATACAAGAATGCTACCTTGAGAGTCTTTCTGTTGTTTCTCCTGATATGAGTTATGGAGTCATGGAGAATCCCATTAGGAAACTGATAGCACCCTTGAACTGACTAATCTGGTTTTGTGGCAATTTCATGTGCTGGGAAGCAGAATATCATGTGGACCATTCTAAATGTATATAAGAGCTATTGTAAGAAATTAGGTAAATTGAAGATCATGGTCCATGTAGCCAAAAGATACAATGAAAAACAGCTCTTTTATATTGTTGTGATAGGTACTTAGGAATTATATTAGGTATTTTGTTGTTAAATCGTGATCAAGCTTGGCATAGACTCAATTTGCTTATTTCTCAATAAAATTTCATAAGAAGAACTTCAGCTTTTCACCTGTCCAAAGAGCTGTATTTTCTATCCTTAAGTATTTGATAAAATAATAAATATGTTCAAGATTAGAAAATTATCACTTTTTATCACCTTTTAATGATTTGTCTTTCATATGAAATTTTGTTTTTGTTAATGTAGTACCCCAAGGAGATAACTTTGGAGGCATTTTCCATTATTGTTACACAGATGCTCGGACTCAGTCTGGGAATGTCATATGATGACACAAGGAAATGTCACTGTTCAGGAGCAATTTGCATAATGAATCCAGAAGCTATGTAAGTTTATTTAAAAGTAAGATTTATTGATTATGTTTATCTTGTTTTAAATATTTGAAGTGAAAAATTTAGTGTTTACCTATAGCACCAATTAGCTGTAAATGGACCAAGTACTACAAAATATAAACCTGAAATTTTAAGTGTAAGAGAGTTGGAAAGAGAAATACCATTAAGAACAGTCAAAGATAACAAATCCAATTGCAAAAATACGTTAGCAAGGGAATGAGACTGTATTTTGTGAAATCTCATAGTGAGGATTGTTAAAAACATGTCAGAATAGAGTGGCAGGATGGATAAAAGAACATGACCCATCTGTATGCCGCCTACAACAGAAAAAAAAACACACACAAACTGAAAGTGAAGGTTTGGAGAGAGATATTACATGCAAATGGAAGCTAAAATAGTCTGGAGTAGCAATAGCTCTATCAGACAAAATAGACTATTTTTTTTAAGACAACAAAAGTATTTATTGCAGGAAATGTCAGAACTTTGTTGAATTTCATTACAAATAATTTTTTTAATTCTATTTTTATTTTGATTTGTTTTTTGTTGCATTAAAAATTTTTTTTTAGGTGGTTAACATACACTGCAATACTGGTTTTTGGAGTGATTCATCACTTAGGTGCAGCACTCAGTGCTCATCATTCACAAGTGTTCTCCTTAATACCAATCACCCATCTAACCCATCCTCCACTCATATCACTCCATCAACCCTCAGTTTGTTTCTATTGTTAAGAGTCTCTTACAGCTTGTTTCCCTCTCTTTTTTTTTCTTTTCCCTATCCCCATATGTTCATCTGTTTTCTTTGTTAAATTCAACATATGTGAGGTCATAGGGTATTTGCTTTTCTCTGACTGTCTTATTTTACTCAGCATAATACACTCCAGCTCCATCCAAGTGATTGCAAATGGCAAGATTACATTCTTTTTGTTGGCTGAGTAATATTTCATTGTATATATACACATTCACTTCCTTTATCCATTCAACAGTTTATGGACATTTGGGCTTTCTCCATAGTTTGGCTATTGTTGATAATGCTGCTATAAATTTCGAGGTACATGTATCCTTTTGAATCACTATTTTTGTATCCTTTTGATAAATACCTAGAAATGCAATTGCTGGGTCATAGGGTAGCTCTATTTTTAACATTTGGACAAAGGTCCATACTGTTCTCCAGAGTGGCTGTACCAGTTTGCATTCCCACCAGAAGGGTGAGAGGGCTCCCCTTTCTCTGCATCCTGGCCAACACCTGTGGTTTTAGCCATTCTGACAGGTTTGAGATGGTATCTCATAATGGTTTTAATTTTTATTTTGATAATGATGAGTGGTGTTGAGCATTTTTTCATCTGTCTGTTAGCCATATGGATGTCTTTTTTGGAACAGTGTCAGTTCATGTCTTCTGCCCATTTCTTAACTGGGTTATTTATTTTTTAGGTATTGACTTTGATAAGTAAAGTCTTTATACATTTTGAATACTAACCCTTTATCAGAAATGTCATTTGCAAATATCTTCTCCCATTCCATATGTTACCTTTTAGTTTTGTTGATTGTTTGCTTTGCTGTGCAGAGGCTTTTTACTTGAAGTCCTGATAGTTCATTTTTTGTTTTGTTTCCCTTTCCTGTGGTGAATGTCTATTAAGAAGTTGCTATGGCCTAAGTCAAAGACATTTCTGCCTTCCTCTAGGATTTTCATGGTTTCCACTCTCACATTAAGGTCTTTAACCCATTTTGAATTTATTTTTGGGTATGGTGTAAGAAAGTAGTACAGTTTCATTCTTTTGCATGTTGCTGTCCAGTTTTCCCAACGTCATTTGTTGAAGAGACTGTCTTTTTTCTGTTGGATGTTCTTTCTTGCTTTGTTGAGGATTAGTTGACCATATAGTTTTGGGTCCACTTCTGGGTTCTCTATGGTGTTCCATTCATCTGTGTGTCTATTTTTATGCCAGTACCGTAGTGTCCTGATGACTACAGCTTCGTAATATAGCTTGAAATCTGGAATCGTGATGCCTCCAGTTTTGTTTTCTTTTTCAGAACTGCTTTGGCTATTTGGGGTCTTTTGTAGTTCCATACAAATTTCAAGATTGTTTGTTCTATTTCTGTGAAAAATGCTGGTGGTATTTTGATAGCGATTTCATTAAATGTGTATATTGCTTTGGGTGGTATAGACATTTTAACAATGTTTATTCTTCTAATCCATGAGCATTGAATGTTTTTCCATTTCTTTGTGTCCTCCTCAATTTCTTTCATAAGTGTTTCTATAGTTTTGAGAGTGGGGATCTTTTTCTTCTTCTTGTTTTTTAAAAAAGATTTATTTATTTATTTATTTGAGAGAGAGAGGGAGAGAACACACATGTGGCGGGAGATGTAGAGGGAGAGAATCTTCAAGCACACACCTCCCCTCCCCCCCGCCATAAGCACAGAGCCTGACACAGGGCTGGGTCTAACAACCTATAAGATCATGACTTGAGCTATAATCAAGAGTTGGATGCTTAACCAACTGAGCCACTCAGGTACCCCTAGATCTTATACTTCTTTAATTAGATTTATTCCTAGTTGTCTTACTGTTTTCAGTGTAACAGCAAATGGGATTGATCCCTTGATTTCTCTTCTCGCTCCTTTATTATTGATGTATAGAAATGCAACAGATTTCTGCACATTGATTTTATATCCTGCAACTTTGCTGAATTCATGGATAGGTTCTGGTAATATTTTGGTGGCATCCTTTGTGTTTTCTACATAGAGCACCATGTCATCTGTGAGGAGTGAAAGTTTGACTTCTTCCTTGCCAATTTGGATGGCTTTTTTTTTCTTTTTGTTGTATGATTGCCGAGGCTAAGAATTTCAGAACTATGTTAAATAATAATGGTGAGAGTAAACATCCTTGTCTTGTTCCTGCCTGTAGGGGAAGGCCTCTCAGTTTTTCCCCATTGAGGAAAAAATTAACTGTTGGTTTTTCTTATATTGTGTTTATGATGTTGAGATATGTTCCATCTATCCCTACTTTGTTGAGGGTTTATATCATGAAAGGATTTTGTATTTTTGTCAAATGCTCTTTCTGCATCTATTGAGAGCATCATATGGTTCTTAACCTTTCTTTTATTAATGTGGTGTATCACACTGATTGATTCGTGGGTGTTAAACCACCCCTGCAGCCAAGGAAAAAAAATCTCATTTGGTTATGGTGAATAATCCTTTAATGTAATGTCGAATTTGCTTTGCTAGTATTTTATTGAGAACTTACGCTTCTGTATTCATCAGGGTTATTGGACATTATTAATTTTCTTTTTTAGTGGGCCTTTGTCTAGTTTTGGAATCAAGGTAATGCAGGCTTTGTAGAACGAGTCGGGAAGATTTCCTTCCATTTCGGTTTTTTGGAACAGTTTCAGAAGAGTAGGTATTAACTCTTTACATGTCTAGTAGAATTCTCCTGGGAAACCATCTGGGTAGGACTTTGTTTGTTGGTAGATTTTTGATTACTGATTCAATTTCTTTGCTGGTTTTGGATCTGTTCAAATTTTTTATTTCTTCCTGGTTCAGTTTTGGTAGTTTATAAGTTTCTATGAATTTGTCCATTGCTCCCAGGTTGCCCAGTTTGTTGGTATATAATTTTTTTTAAAGTATTCTCTTATGATTGTTTTTATTTCTGCAGTGTTGGCTGGGATATTTCCTCTTTCATTCATGATTTTTTAAATTTGGTTTCTTTCTCTTTTCTGCTTGATAAGTCTGGCTAGGGGTTAGCAGTCTTGCTAATCTTTCAAAGAACCAGCTCCTGGTTTCATTGATCTAGTATTCTACTGCTTTTCTGTTTTCTATATCATTGATTTCTGCTCTAATCTTTATTGTTTTCCCTCTCCTCCTGGATTTAGGCTTTATTTTCTGTTTCTTTTCTAGCTCTTGTAGGTGTAAATTTAGGTTGTGTATTTGACTTCTCTTGCTTCTTGAAAAAGGCCTGTACTACTATACTTCCCTCTGGACCAGCTTTGGTGCATCCCAAAGGTTTTAGACTGTCATGTTTTAATTTTCATTTGCTTCCATGTATTTGTTAAGTACTTCTTTAATTTCCTGGTTGACCCATTCATTCTTTGATTGGATATTCTTTAACTTCCATGTATTTGTGGTCCTTCCACATTTTTTCTTGTGGTTGACTTCGAGTTTCATAGCACTGTGGTCTGAAAATACGCATGGTATGATCTCAGTCTTTTTGTACTTGTTGAGGGCTGATTTGTGACCCAGTATGTGATCTATTCTGGAGAATGTTCCATGTACACTCAAAAAGAATGTGTATTCTGCTGCTTTAGGATGAAATGCTCTGAATATATCTGTTAAGTCCATCTGGTTCAGTGAGTCATTTAAAGCCCTTATTTCCAATTACTGATCTGTCCATTGCTGTGAGTGGGGTGTTAAATTCCCCCAGTCATATCGTATTATTATCAACGACTTTAAATTTGTTATTAATTGATTTATATGCTGGCTGCTCCCATGCCGGGGGCATATATATTTACAGTTGTTAGATCTTCTTGTTGGATATACCCTTTTATTATGATATAGTGTCTTTCTTCATCTCTTTAGTACAATCTTTGGCTTAAAATCTAGTTTGTCTGATATAAGGATTGCCACTAGTGTGGCAGTATACATTTTCCAAGTGTACTCCAGGAAGGAAAACAATTTCTCTCAGTGCATCTTGGAGATTCCTACACCACTTTGTGTGCTCTCTGGCCACCATCCTCTTCCTCCCCAGAAGCACACACCACAGTTTCAATCTGGCAAAAGTGTTGTATTTCCAAAACCTGAGAGATTGCATTCCACACTGTTTGCAGAAAAACCTGCCACACTAGTTCCCCTGGCTTCTTGGCCTCTGGTCCCTAGAAGTCTTCTTGTGTGAACCCAAGGCTGCACTCTCTTAACTCTTCTCCTTTTCTCTCCCCATGGAAAGAATTCCCTCCCCTCCTCAGCAGAGCACTTTTTCTCTCCCACAGTTCACTTCCACACACCTCGCAGCT